ATGGCAATGAAACAATATATGATAGAATGAATGTAAAACCAATGGTCTCCCATGTAAACTATCACATAATTCACAATAAAACATTTATTTAAAAAAAAAAAAGATTAGATAGGTAGGTTATGGGCAGTAAGTTTATCTTAATAACAACTCGGGAAAAGAGGGTGCGAAGGGCTGCATAATTTGAAGAATTTAATGACACTGAAATAAACATGTAGAAATTTTTTTAAAAAAGAAGACGAAAAATAGATGATTGGCACATAATAACAATTAGAAACTTAAGTGGATCAAAAGATTTCACAAAAAGAACAAAGAAGGAGTCTACAGACAGGAAAAAAAATTTGCAATGACATATCAGACAAGGGACTAATATTTAAAATTTATAGGAAACTATAACACCTCTATAAGACAAAGACACATATCCCAATTAAAAAATGGGCACAGGACATGACCAGACTTCACCAAGGAAGACATTTAGGCAGCCAATAAACATATGAAAAAATGTTCACGATCATTAGCCATTGGTGGTGGTGGTTATGTGCTGTGGAGTCGGAAGTGACTCAGCGACCCTGTACAGGGTTTCCGAGGCTGTAAATCTTTACGGGAGCAGAAAGCCTCATCTTTCTCCTGTGGAGCAGCTGGTAGTTTTGAACTGCTGACCTCAAGGTTCGCAGTCTGATTCATAACCACTATGAATCAAAACAACAATGAGATACCATCCTAGACAAGCAATAACAGCAAAGTTCAAAAAAGCAGAGGAAAATAAGCACTGGCAAGAATGTGGAGAGACTGGGGCCTTCCTATGTTGCTGGTAGGATTGTAAAATGGTTCAACTGGTCTGGAAAATGGTATGGCACTTCCTCAGAAAGTTGGAAATAGAAACATCTTATGATTCAGCATTTCCTCTACTTGGTATATCCTCTATTTGGTACATATCCCCAAGAAATACGAGTCAGAATACAAGTAGATATATTTACACCAGTGTTTATCACAGCACTATTTATAATACCAAAAAGATGGAGACAGCCTAAGTGCCTATCAATGGAAGATCAGATAAACAAACTGATATACACACAATGGAATACTATGCTAACTTGAAGAATAATAATGAAGCTACAAGCCTCTGCATAACATGGATGAACCTTGAGGATATTGTGCTGATTGAAATTACTCAGTCACATAAGGACACTTATTGGATAAGACCATTATTGTAAAAGCTTAAGAAACATACTCATACTAAGAAAAAAAATTTTTCTTTGTTGGTTAAGAGAGGTGGGAGGGAGGGGGCGGTAAAACACAAGTTAGGAGATTATGACATCATAGCTCAGGTGTTGTGGAGGGCAATACATAAGGAAGGGGAGGTCAATACACAACAAGGAGAATGGGGTGAAGGAACAAGGTAGATAGGGGAACACTTAGGCTGGTTTGCATGGGCTAAATAGAATACAGGTACATAATGATGTATGCTCAACCTTGGAACAACAGCACTCTGGGAAACAGGGATCAAGGCATAGTCTGAATGGGTAAAAGAGGGAAAATAATGTTAAGATGCTTAATGTCTTACGATATTGATTTTCCTTGCCTACTGTTGTAAAATAGACACTTGAGTGTGACAGAAAGGAATATTGGGATACAAGATTACAGAAAGTTTGTAAGCCTATAACTGATTGGAATACCTAAAAGGGGTTCTAGAAATTGCCCAAAGAAATAGGCTTGTTGTGGAGCCTTTTGTAGTGTATAGGACCTTAGATGGAATCCTGAGCCCCATCTAGATCCTTCTGAGGTGGGACATTCCCACTTCAAAGGGCATGCAGACCAGCCCAGAGCACCTAGAAGAACAGAAGATATTTCTTGAAAGAAAGATCAGCATGAAAAACAAAAACAAAACTGGCAGTTTGTATGGCTATCACTAGAACAAGCAAGCTGTTTGCTGGGGAGCCATTAAGGCAAGCAATCAAGTCCCTTCAGGAAAACACCCCTTCCAAGACTGCATCTCTAAGGGAACACAAGAGCAGGCATATAAGCTCTCTGGCAACTACATTGGTCTACATGAGTGGAAGTGGGAGACAGTCAGTAATGAAGATATGGGTTGAGTTCGACCACATTCCATAGACTCTTGTCAACCTTCAGATGGGAGAGAGGAGAGCAAGGGTTGGTTGGTCCAAAGTTTGGAGAGACTTGGGAGCTCCTGAACTCATGGACATTGATCTAGCCATGGTTGGCTAGAGCATAGAGTGAAGCATCCAGTTGATATTAAGTGGGGAGAGACACACAAGAACACTCAAACTTACAGATAGTACCCATTTGACCAATATCCAATCAATGGCTGGATGATTGGAACTCGACTAGAGGAAGATAAAGAAATTTGATGAAGGAAGTAAATGTAAATCACTACAATTCAAGGAACTTGACCTATACTTATGGATGTAGTAGCTCAAAATACCAACTGAGAGCAAGGGAGTCTTCACATCAAGGATCTAGCCCCTCTGTACACAGGATTGATAGGAATGGACAACTTAGAGATTGGCTACTGAAAATGGGGGGTGGAGGCACTATAAAGGGATGAAGTTGCTGGCTTATAAGTTTTCAATAAGGAGTTAAGTTTCAAAGTGTGTGGGGGAATATAGAATCCCCGTTGAATAATTTTCATCTTGATTAGAAAAGTCTGGTGAATGGAGACGGGGATAGGATTCTGTTGATTCAATTGCCAGTAATTGTTATTATGACTAATTGCAATGGTCACAACTGCAAAAGTAGATGCTGTGTACTGGCCTCCAGAAGTTTGGCTTTCAGAATGTGCCCTTGGGTTGTTTAAAAGATCATATAGTCCTGTGTATTTTTGTGTACATCAAAAAAAAGAGAGACTATAAGCAAATACTGTTAACTGATGATGCATGGATGCAATTGTAATCATTGCAATGGAACAATATATGATAGGTTTACTGCAAAACTGATGTGCTCCCATATCACTAATTCACAATAAAAGTTTTAAATATATAAAAAAAGAACATAAACACTCAGCATTAAAAAAGAATAAATTATTGATAAAAGTAAAAAAAAAAAAAAGAGAGAGAGAGAGAGAGAGAGAAACGTTAAGAGGCTAGATGAAGAGGTAAACCTTAAAAACTATTAGATTTACCACTTGGAGAGGAAGGGAAGGTCATGCCTACTACAGAAATGGATATTGCTCTCTAGCCATCTTTTTCCTCTTTAGCAACTAGGGATTCTGAATTATTTGGTGGTACTGCGAGCAATCTCAGAGGAAGTGTGGAATATTAGGAAAGGACTAATCATGAATCTCATGTCCAAACTTCTACACAGTCAAACAACATCTAGGAAACTGACTGAAAGGAGTAAGAGGGGACTTCAAAAAGTTCATGGAAAAATGGAGTTAATAAACAAGCAAAATTTTTCCATGAACTTTTTGAGGATTCTTCAGATGTGAAAAGGGGGTACCTTTTACTTCATGAACCACATTTCATAGATTTGAACTTAGTCATCAACTATGTGCAAAGTGTCTGCTCCAGAGAACCATCCCATTGGTCCAGTTTTTCATTTAAAGGCTCATTGTTATTGCCACATCCATTGCCTTCCACCATATGCCTTCACTCACACTGACAAATGCCAACTTAAGAATCTCATTTCCTCTTTATAAAGTAATATTGCTTTGTAATCCCCTAAATGCATATCATTGGCAGATGTAACTGGAGACATGCTGTCTTTGAGTCCAGGTGGCTTTCAGCAGCCCAAAGCATTGCATTCTATAAGTTTCTGTGCCAAGCAGATAGTATTCTGTTAATTGATGATGATAATAAAATATCAGAGTGATTCTAAGATCCTGTCCAGGAGCTAGCTTAGTATTTTGTTATGTCCCCACAGATTGCATTGCTAGTTAAAACAATTTCATCTGCAATAGGGGTGGTTTCTAATGGCACATCACCACCTAGCTGAAGGAGCAATCAACATCATCAACTTACATTAGATACTAGGATAAATTTGGTGGAGACACAAAAAGAGATGGATCCTTGCCCTCAAGGAACCGACAAACTAGTTCTAGTTCAGATTTGAGCATGGTAGCCGATACCAATATTAATGGCTTTATCACATTATAGACGTGCCAGCATGGGATTGTTGTTTTTGTTTAATGTTGCTGAGTTGGTTCTGACTCATTGACCCTATATAGGTTTTATGGGAACAGATTAATCTTTTTCCCACAAAGTGACTGGTGGGCTCTAACTGTGGACTTTGTGGTTAGCAATTTAATGCTTATATTATAGAGCTACAGTATCCCCATGGCATAACACTGTGTTAATTCCAAGAATAAGACAAGATCAAGAATTAATATTCTCATGGTAGCCTTAGTAGACATAAGATTAGGTCCATATAAAGGATGATCTTGAGGGACACAAATATCACTATGGCCCTCAGAAATACTGAGAAAGTACTAAAGGTATTTGAGGTTAGAGGAGACAGAATCATTGTAGTTAGTGCCATGTCAAACAATTGATAAGCAGTGTAGACAAACCTTCTGTGATCTTGAGATCACTGAAAATATATGAGATGATTAAGTAGGTTTGGGAAGGGGGTTCTCTGAAGGGCACTCTAAATAACAGATAACTGAAACTGATAAAGAAGGAATTAGCTAAGTAGACTTACCATCTGCTCCTTCACTGCTTTTGCTTCTTTTATTGCGGCGAACACTCTTACTTTCCTGTTCAGAATATGATTTTTCTTCAGGGAAGAAGAAATTCAGTAGGGCCATCTGTAAAATTACCAAATAAATGAATCAAATTTGATCTTCCAGTCAGTCATAGTCAACATAAAAAACTACCTTGCTATATATAGAGAGTCTACCTTCACCTAGATAATCTGGTGGTTGCGTGCTCTGCTGAAAATATGAAAATCTGTTTTGGTAATAATTTAAGTCTTGGAAATCCTTCGTGGCAGTTCTACTTTGTCCTCTATGGTCACCATGAGTCTGAATTAACTCAGGGCAATGGGTTTGGTGTTTTTTGTTTGTTTGTTTTAAAGTCTTAGCATATCTACCACTATGCAAATCCTTTTATTTTATATGCCATTATTATTGCAGTCACATAGGCATATAATCTTGGTTCATCTTTGAATTCCCATTCATCTACTCCGAATATCCAGTGAATCATCCTTCAGGTTCTATTTCTTCATTTATTTGGGGATTCAAAGAGGATAGCCACTGATATCTGTTCACATACAAATAATGCCCCCCTCCCCAAATTATAATTGAGTTTGCTGCTCCCATTTGAACTTTATTATTGTACACCAGTACTCTTGCCATATTATTAATTATGTTCCACTTTTGACTTGTTCCCCAAATGCTATTCATCCAATACTGAGGTACTATTTTTGTCAGCTCTCTTCTGGGAGTCAGTCATGACAGAATCACAATTATTCTCTCCCTTTCCTATATTCCTAGAGCACTTGTGGAAATTAATTTTGGTATTTGGTCTACTAATGTTTTATGAGCACTCATAATATAATAATACATTAACTTTTATAAGTGAAGGAGCCTGATCATTTTAGCTTAAGATAAATATTTGCTGAATTGAGTCAAAACTTTTCAGCATGACTGCTTCAATGTGGTTTTGAAAAAATGTGCTTGAGGTAAACAGCAGAATACTAAGATTAACAGTGACTCTAATCCCAACTCTGCCATTTACTACCTGTCTGTGGCAAATTATTAGCTTGGACCGATTACTTAAAATTTAATTTCCTTATTTGTAAATAGGGATAATGATAGTACTTTGCTTATCAAATAGATAGCACTTTACTCAGCATGTAATATATGCTCAATAAATGAAAATTATGGTGTGGTGCTGTAGGATAAGCACTGAGCTGCTAACCACAGAGTTGGTGGTTCAAATCTACCAATCAGTAGTCAGAAACCCTATGTAGTGTCACTATGAGTCAAAATTGACTCCAGGGCACTTAGCAACATTTGTTGTTGTTAAGTGCTGGTACAATCACACCCAATAGTGTTTTTGTTTTGTTTTGTTTTTAACTTTTTATTGGGGAGTGAAGGTTTACAGAGCAGATCACCAGTTTTACATTAAACAAATAATAAACTTCATTTCAATGATTGCAATCCCTTTAATGTAATACTGGTTACCTCACTTCCTCCCTGTGCTTCTTATTCCATTCCACCTCTGGTAATGTAGTGGTTACGAGTCGGGTTGCTAATCTCAAGGTCACCAGTTTGAAACTACTAGCAGTTCCATGGGAGAAAGACGAGGCTCTCTGCTCCTGGGAAATCCTATATAAGTCGCTATTAATCGGAACATATTCCACTGCACAAAACCCCCACAACTACCTCTTTCACAACCCTTCTTAATTTTGTCCTTAGGTAAATGCTGCCCTTTTGATCTTGAATGGCTGACCATTCCATGGTGCATGCATGCATCCCTCAATATAACTATCTACTAAATAGTGGAACCACCACTCATCTGTCAGTTTGTCATACTGTGTTGACTTGGGAGTTGCTGTGATTCTGGAAGCTATGACATGAGTATATTAAATACCAGCAGGGTCACCCACAGTGGACAGGTTTCAGATGAGCTTCCAGATGAAGACAGACTAGGAAGAAGAGATGAACTACTTCCGAATATTTAGTTACTGATAACCTTATGAATAGCAGAGAAAAACTGTCAGATATAGTGGCAGAATATGAGCCCTTCAAGTTGGAAGGTACTCAAAATGAGACTGGGGAAGACCTGCCTTCTCAAAGTAGAGTTGACCGTGATGACCCGAATGGAGTAAAGCCTGTGGGAGTAAAGCCCTTGGGACCTTCATTTTCTAATGGGGCATGACTCAAAATGAAGAGAAACATCAGTAAACCTCTATTAATAATTGGAACATGAAATGTATGAAATATGAATCTAGGAAAATTGAAGATTGTAAAAAATGATATGGAGCACATAAACATTGATATTTTAGCATTAGTGAGCTGAAACGGACTAGTATTAGACATTTTGAATCTGACAACCACACAGTTTACTAAACCAGGAATGACAAATTGAAGAGGAATGGTGTTGCATTCATTGTCAAAAAGAACATATCAAGATTAGTCACGAGGTACAACGCTGTCTGTGATAGGATAATATCCATGCACCTACAGGGAAAGCCAAGGAGCTCTGGTAGCCTAGTGGTTACAAATCGGGCTGTGAACCACAAGGTCAGCAGTTTGAAATCACCAGCTGCTCCGCAGGAGAAAGATGAGCTTTTCTGCTCCCATAAAGATTTACAGCCTCAGAAACCCTGTTCAGGGTCGCTATGGGTCAGAACCGACTCGATGGCACTTAACAACAACAACAACAACAACAACAACAACAACAGGGAAAGCCAGTAAATGCCAATTCAATTTACACACCAACCACTAAAGTCAAAGAGGATAAAATAGAAGAATTCTACCAACTTCTTCAATCTGAAATTGATCAAACATGCAATCAAGATGTATTGATCATAACTGGTGATTGGAATACAAGGTTGGAAACAAAGAGGAAGGATCAGTAGTTGGAAAATATGGCCTTGGTGATAGAAATGATGCTGGAGATTGCATGATAGAATTCTGCCAAACCAATGATTTGTTCATTTCAAATACCTTCCTTAGATAGCATAAGAGATGCTTATACACATAGACTTCACCAAATGGAATACACAGAAATCAAATTGACTACATCTGTGGAAAAAGACAGTGAAAAACTCCATATCATCAGTCAAAATAAGGCCAGGGACAGATTGTGGAACAGACCATCAATTGCTCATAGGCAAGGTCAGACTGAGCTAAAGAAAATGGAAACCTGTCCAATATATGCCAAAATATGACTTTGAATAGATGCCACCTATATATAGAGTTCATCTGAAGAACAGATTTGATACGTTAAACATTAAAGACTGAAGACCAGAAGAGTTGTGGGATGACATCAAGAACATCATATAGGAAGAATGCAAAAAGTCATTAAGAAGACAAGAAAGAAGAAAAAAATCAAAATGGATGTCAGAAGCAACACTGAAACTTGCTCTCCAGTGTAGAGATGCTAAAGCAAATGGAAGAAATAAGGAAGTACAAGAGCTGAACAGAAAATTTCAAAGGTAATTTCAAGAAGACAAAGTCAAATATTACAACGAAATATGCAAAGAGCTGGAGTAGAAAACCAAAAGGGAAGACCATGCTCGGCATTTCTCAAGCTGGAGGAACTGAAGAAAAAATTTAAGTCTCGACTTTTGTTATTGGAGGATTCTCCAGAAAATGATTGAATGATGCAGAGTCACTGTATCAAAAGGGGATGTTTGATGTTGAACTGTTTCAAGAGGTAGTATATGATCAAGACCCAATGATACTCAGGGAGGAAGTCCAAGGTGTATTGAAGGAATCGGCAAAGAACAAGACTCTAGGATTTGATGGAATAAAAATTGAAATCTTTCAAGAAAATGAGGCAGCACTGGAGGCACTCTCTAATCTATGCCAAGAAATTTGGAAGACAACTATCTGGCCAACTGATTGAAAGAGATCTGTATTTGTGCCCATTCCAAAGAGAGGTGACCCAATGGAATACGTAAATTATCAGATGACATCTGTGATGTTCCATGCGAGTAAAGTTTTGCTAAAGGTAATACAGAAACAGCTACAATCATACATTGACAAAGAACTTCCTGAGGTTCACGCCAGATTCAGAAGAGGACGTGGAACAAGGGATATCATTGCTGATGTCCGATGGATCTTGGCTGAAAGCAGAGACTATCAGAAAGATGTTTACCTGTGCTTTATTGACTATGCAAAGGCTTTCGATGGTGTGGATCATGATAAGCTATGGATAACATTGTGAAGTATGAGTATTCCGGAACATTTAATTGTGCTCATGAGGAATCTGTACCTGGACCAAGAGACTGTTATTTGAACAGAACAGGGGAACACTGAATGTTTTAAAATTAAGAAAGGTGTGTGACAGGGTTGAATTCTTTCACCATACTTATCCAACCTGTATGCTGAGCAAATAATCCGAGAAGCTGATTCTATGAAGAAAAATGTGGCATCAGGATTGGACGAAGACTCTTTAACAACCTGCAATATGCAGATGATACAATCTTGCTTGCTGAAAGTGAAGGGGACTTAAAGTACTTACTGATGAAGATCAAATACCACAGCCTTCGGTATGGATTACATCTCAATGTAAAGAAAACAAAAATTATCACCACTGGAGCAATAAACAACATTCTTATCAACGGAGAAAAGACTGAAGTTGTCAATGACTTCATTCTTCTTGAATCAACTATCAACACTCACGGAAACAGCAGTCAGGAAATTAGACAACATACTGCATTAGGCAAATCTGCTGCACAAGACCTTTTTAAAGTGTTGAAGAGCAAAGATGTCAGCTTGAGGACTAAGGTGCACCAGACCCAAGCCATGGTATTTTCAATAACTTCAAATGCATGCAAAAGCTGGACAGTGAATAAGAAAGACTGTAGAAAAATTGATGTTTTGAGTTATGGTAAGAGAGGAGAATATTGAGAGTGCCAGGATGGCCAAACTGTGTCTCTCATACTTCGGATGTATTGTCAGGAGGGAGCAGTCACTGGAGAAGGATATTATGTTTGGTAAGGTGGAGGGTCAGAGAAAAAGAGGAAAACCCCCAACGAGATGGATTGGCCAAGTGGCAACATCGATGGACTCAAACGTTTCAACAGTAATGAGGTTGGCCCAGGATTGGGCAGTGTTTTGTTCTGCTGTGC